AAATGTATATGGAGATGCAGTTCCTTTCAACAATTTACTTGATGCATTTGCAAGTAATGATGTGCGCATTGAGAACCTGCAATTACAATGTTACAGTGGCGTATGGGATGAGGCTACCACAGAAAGCGTAACAAAGCTGACATTTTTGGAGAAATTAGAGTTGAAAACAATTTCAGAGGAGCAATTGATTCATATCGCTCGTTATCTACCCAAACTCAAAGAAATTGCAGTCTTCGGATTTGGGACACAATTTGGCATTGCCGGAATCATAAAAATACTAAAAATTGGACAAAATTTAACTACATTGAGAATTTGTGATAATTTTTGTCCTGGCACCATCACTTTAGAAGATTATGAACACATGTTGGCATTGGTCAAAGGTCGCATCAGACTCACTATGCGAACTACTAACAAAATACCCATTCATGTTCCCGAAGATGTATTGGATGCGAATCGTGAATGGTTGAATATTTCGTGTTTAGAAAATAGTCCTACAGTATTTGTACAAATAGTACACCATAGAAATGTACCACGGCCTCTATAGAAATGTATCATTGAAACTTTCTTTTCCAACCAAATAAAAATCAATATTTTTTTTTTTTTTTGAAAATCAAAAATGCATTACTTCATATTTATTTCATAAATAAAAACATTATTCATAGTTAGCACCGGCTACCACCTAGATTGATGGCTAAAATTTAATTGTCTGCGATTTAAAAAATCGAAACATTTTTTTTATATTCGACGTATGCGTTTCTTGGTCACAATCCTGCTAAAAAATAGATCTGCGCAGACTTCACTGTGTCAGGGGGAGGAGTATCGTTCTCGGTGGCAAAGACAATCGAAATTTCGGACTGAAGAAGTGGAATCGTCTGTGCAGACAATAAATTTGGATTTTGTCATCTGGATATTTCAGCTAATCTGGATAACGTGAGGCGATGATATGGAGTGAAAACAATAGAAGTGATTGTTGTATTGTATAGGCATAAAAATACTACCATCTATTGTTTTCATTTCGTATCATCGCCTAACGTTATCTAGATGAGCTGAAATATCCAGATGACAAAATCCAAATATATTGTCTGCGTCTGTGCCACCAATTTGCCGAATCATTAAATAAACCACAGAAACAGATCAATAAACACACTATTACAGCAGCCATTCGTTGCAAACCATTGTATCCATTTAATGATATACGGGACTTTTTCGACGGCATGATTTCTTTGCGCGTCCGACACGAAGCGAACCAAACAAATTTCTTATCACTGCTCGAGATTTTTTTAGCAGCCGTTTGTTGTTGTTGCTATTGCATGAATTCAAACTTTGAAGTCAGAACATTAAATTCGAATGATTGAAAGTACTGAATAAAAGCTTTATGTAATATTCCATATAACTAGCAATCTTTTTATGAAACATTTTGCGATACTCATATGAGAACGATCGAGAATAAATAAGACCTCTACACACAATTTATTGAATTGAAACTTTAAGGCACGATTTCATTGAACTGTGGCACCAAGGTAAATTCTATTATATTTTAATGATTTTGTAATTACAGTAATTATAAATCAATATATTATTTAAAAATAGATGCAAAGTATAACACTGAAAAATTATGACTAAATATTTATTGTGAAAAAAGCTAAAATGTGTGCATATTCGTTAATAAACACAAATAAAAAATAATTCTGAGCCCACAGCAAACCTATTCAAAAGAAGGCAACACAATTTTTTCGGATGATTAAGTATAACGATACGATTGAGTTAGATCAACCTATACACTTTTGAGGTGAGATATGCTTAAGAACCGGGGTACCACTAAAATGGTTTTTATATTTTACGACTTCAGGTCGTTTTCAGCAAATTCGAGATGAAAAAAGTGGTAATGCTTTGATACAAAATAGACTGCTTTCAAATTTTACCGAAATTTTACATCGTGTAAACTGCCAATACCTCCTCGGTAGACTTTGAATCACATTACAGCAGTTTTTTCGCGTCGAATTTGATAAAAACGACCTGAAATCGCAACAAATAAAAAAAATATTACGATAAATTATATGATGTGCATTATATTTTTTTATCAGATGGATTTATTTATAATTTTCATTCGGCTTTGTCACCTGAAACGAGATTTTTTGACACTTAAAATTATTCATTTTTTCACATTTTTATTATCAAGTTTTAATTTTTTAGTTTTCTTATAATTACCGTCATTCTTTGTATCAAAGTCCATTAGATAGTAAGCAATACGTTTGTGACCTGAAAAAAAATGCTTCACTAAGATGCTTTTTATTTAAAAGATAAAAAAGTATGCCTAATTACCAAATACGTTCGCCAGCGTGAGTGCAGTATCATTTTCATTATTTCGAGCATTTATATTGGCACCATATTTAATCAGCAATTTAATAGTCTCAAGGTTGCCTAACAGAGGATTTTTCGTAATATTTGTTACTGAATGATGGTATTATTTCGTATGTAAGTAATAATTACCATGCTGGGCAGCTTTATGGAGTGGTGTTTCTTTGTCTTCATTTTCAACATTCACGTTTGCTCCATGCTTAATTAGATATCTAACTGTATCTGTGTCGCCTAAAAAGCATCAAATGTTATGATATTCAACTTTTAATTAAAACTATTGTCTCGTAACTGTGAAAAGAACGTCATTACCATTTGAAGCAGCCCAGAAAAGTGGCGTTTGTTTATTTTCATTTTCGACATTTACTTTCGATCCATGATCAATTAGATATTTAACTGCTTCCGTGTTACCTAGAAGGCATGAAAAGGGATAGAATTAAACATCTCTCTTAATTAGGACATACGTTTTAACTACCTCGTTTAATAGCAGCATGAAGTGGTAATTCTCTAATTTTGCTTATAGCATTTACATTTGCACCGTGATCGATTAAAATTTTAATTATTTCAATGTGACCTGGAAAGCAAAAACTTGATTGAGATAAATTTTCGTTCAAAATCCGTGATAATTAACGATATTTTTCAATTTTTCTTCGAAAAGATATTTGGAAAAGTGTGCAATTACCACTATAAGAAGCCTTGTGTAATGGTATGTCTTCATCAAAATTTCGGACATTTACATTCGCACCATGTTCGATTAAGCATTTAACTACATCAGTATGACCTAAAAATCATAAAAAACAATGACACTCACTGAAACCATTTCTTTCAAATTCAGAAAAGGGCATAATTACCATTTAAAGCGGGCCAGAAAAGTGGTGTTTCATTCTTTTTATTTACAGCGTTTACATTCGCTCCCATTTCGATCAAGTATTTGACTGCATCAGTATGACCTGCAAACCATGAATACTGATATCATTGATACTTGAATGTCTCTTAATTCAGAAAAAAAGTGTACAATTACCACTATGAGCTGCCACATGAAGTGGTGTTTCTTTGTCTTCATCTTCGACATTCACACTCACTCCTTGATCGATTAATGTTTTGATTACTTCTACGTCCCCTAGGAAACATGAAAAGTTTTATAAATTTCACGTCAGTGATGCTGAATAATCACTTTGTTGTATAATGTTTGTTTTATACTAGTGGGTTAGGTGTCTCGCACATTATGATTATGGACAAATATTAAAATGATCGCAACGAACATATTGAATTGAAACCAGCAATTCAAGTCAATGAAAACTACTTTTGCCTAATGAATAAAATAAAATAGCACAGTATGCCGTTTAACTGGTTGCCGTTTCGTTTGATATATTTCATACAAAGATCGATACATTTTTTTTATTTCAGAATGCAAAAGACAGACAATATATTTAGATTTCGTCATCTGGATATTTCAGCTCATCTGGATAACGTTAGGCGATGATACGAAATGAAAACAATAGAAGTGATTGTTATAGTTATGGTAGTATTTTTATACCTGTACAATACAACAATCACTTCCATTATTTTCATTTCGTATCATCGCTTAACGTTATCCAGATGAGCTGAAATATCCAGATGACGAAATCTAAATATATTGTCTGGCAAAAGATAACAAAAAAATATTAATTTAAAAAACCATTTGAAGTGTAATCAAATAAGAAAGCAATTATTATCTCAAACGTGGTATCCATTCAACTTGTCAATTTTTCAGAAAATATATTGAACTAACTGGTCAGTTGAATCACTTAGAATAAATCAACATTACTAGATAAATGTCTTCAAATGCGTTACTGAAAAAAGTCAGTCAGCAAAAGCGTTATAAAATATATGGACGGTGTCACGCTTTTGTTGGCGAACTTTTTTATATAACGCGTCACATACAGTTTTTGACACTATTGCTGACGTACTTTTTTCTATAACGCACTTGAAGACATTTATCTACTAATGCTGATTTATTCTAGGCGGTTCAGTTGAGCTGACAGTACGTTAGCCAGCTAAATGAGCTAAAAAAATAGACGTTATTGTTTTAATGATGAATCACTTCTCTTGTTTTAATAGTAGTCATTGTTAATTATAACAATAACTTCTATTGTTTTGGCCCATTTAGCTGGCTAACGTACTGTCAGCTCAACTGACCAGTTAGTTCAATATATTGTCTGCAATTTTTTTCCTCCCAAATTATGGATGCAGACATTTAATATATCCAGACACACACATTATTATCAAGCTAAAGTGTTACTCTCTTTGAATAGAACGAAAAAAAATCTCAGAGAGGAACACAAGTGGACAAACCTATTTCTATATTTCCAATTTTATTCCCTCTCAATCATTTATATTATGGATTTTTTTGATGAAAATCAAAAAAAAAAAAATTACCAATTCGAGCGGCATCAATCATCTGTTGGCCAACATCAGAAAATGCACGAACTTGAATTGCGCACACAAAAAATAATACAAGAAATCTCTTAACTCTCATCATTACGGAAGAAATAAACAATATTATTAATTATTTTCTACAAATTTAAGAGGAAAACGTACTATAAATCTATTTTATATATATTTTGGAAATGCGTTCGTTCTCAATCGAATATAGAAGACTTCTGATGTTCGAATTTACTTGATATGTGATTTTATATTAAGTTTGGCTTTGATCAATCCACATTTATATACATGGTTGGTATGAAACAATCTTCTGGTTAATTGTAAACAAGGGAGATTATTTTTTCATAGTTCTTTCAACATTTTTATTCGTATTTTTAATTCTTATTCTACTGTGTTATCTGCTTAAAAGATTCGTTCGCATTCTGTGAGCAACGTAGGAATATTAAGTAAAAACGAGATTCAAAGTTCATTTGCATCCACGTGAACAACAAGATACAGCTTAATCAGTCAATACACACACAAAATACTAGTGGTAGAATTATGTAAATGTCCATCACGCCAAATATCAAGTGTCGATTTTACGAAAATATCAATAGATTTTTTGATAACTACATTTGCAATATACCAACACATTTAAACAATTCTACTACTAGTGTTTTGAGTGTGTGCACATTGAACAAGAAAATAAACATTCAAATGAAAGCTTGCCAAATTTTGGACTTTCTCATTGATGATAATACAATTTTTATAAAAAATATAATAATCACATGTTATTAACATGTTTTTATTTTATTTTTTAAAAAGCAACGGAGACAACAAAATAACAAGATACTGGCAAACAGTAAAAATTCCAATGAGGTCATACCAAGTTATGGATTTTCCCAGTATTGATAATAGAATTGCAATAATCATGTGCATTAAAGGACAGAATATGGTAACGGATTAAAAAAAGTTGTCTCTTATTCATAATTAATAATGACTCATAACTTATTTAGAAAGTGTAACAATCAAAGGCAATCGAATGTAAACTCGAAAAAACTAAACTCTGATTAAAAGATAGAGGATTGCACACGCTGCAATAAAGAAAACAGAGCAAATTTATTATTCATATAAATGACGTTTTCTGACGTTTTTGTGTGCTTACATTAGAAAGAGTTCAAAAGGTATCGATAATACACAAAATGCATTGCTCTTAAATTTAATTCATTTCTTCTCGTACTTTGCAAAACTATATAAAATCATAGCTCGGCAATATCTGAACATTTTCAATTATACATCTCGTCGCAACTTATTCAAGTTGAGGCTCCAGATTTTTTTATTTTACGAAATTCAAAGAAGTCATTTACTTAATTTTCGAAATGAAATTATCGTCTTGTTTTTTTATGTTGTGCACATTTGTGTGTGCCACCGAAATTACAGCACAACGCAGTGAGTATATTTAATATTGTTTTTTTATTTTTATCAATTCAAAGTCTATAATTACTTTTCATGTAGCACCCAAGCCTGATTTAACGGTTCGCTCGGGCGATGTTCAATTGAAAAAGTTTCCAGCAGGCACCAGATTCTATAAATCTCGTCCCTTATATCCAAAACAGTCAAAAATGACTAAATATATGATGCATCGGGTAAGAGTAAATGACTGGTCTGGTCAATATTTTGCCCTTAGCCAGTCAGTTACGTATCTTTATGCAAAGGATTATTTGACGGGTGAAAAAGGCGGAGTTTACTTGAAAACTTATGAACTTAAAAATGATTTTGAAGTGCTACTCATTAAAAATAAGCAATTTGCCGATGGTTATTATAATCAACACATCAAAGCAGACAAACTAAAAGGTTTTTTCAAAGAGCATGGCTTGGGATACATTCAAGATAACGGAAATATTCCAGATTCTCAGCTCACCACAATATCTCTAGATTTGAAATATTATTTTAAGAATCTAAATGTACCATTGGTTTCGACGCTTAATAATCTCGGTTTCGCTCTTGAATGTCCGCATGACAATAAGAATAATGAAATCATTCTTCCGCCCAACATGAAATGGGAAAATATTTTGCGAGAAGTTCAAAGCAAAGTGTTGGTATATGGATTGCATCCAGTAGCTGATCCGGACGCATTTCAAGAATTTGATAATATCGATGCCGTAGTACCACCGTATAAGAAACTTATTGACGAACAAAAAAGAATAATAGACGCCGAAAGACAAGATAGTGCAGATATAATTGTATACTAAACTCTTCCACAAACTATAAACATTCTGAATAAAACTTCAGAAATTCCTATATTCGTTGTGGTAATATAATGTTAGCAGTAATCATACTTGACGTTACTGCTTAGTATGAAAGTAGTTTATTTGAAAAAAAAAAAAAAAAAAAACAATCTGTTCGATAATTAATTGTTAAAAATACAAAAAAATACTTTTAAAAAATCAAGGGAAAATAAAAAAAAACATATCAAAATGAGATTCGATTTGTGTTTTATTCAGCATGTTTTTTATCTCTTAAAGACTAGATAAGACTCAATCAAAAAACTTATAGTTATACGACATAAAATTGTCAAAAAAGTAAATAAATTGATACAAAATCCTATTCAGCCTTAATTCTGGTAACAATTGATTTTCTTCATTAAAAATCATCGAATGCCATTTTATATAAGTGTTGTATGAATTTTTTCAAAGGTCCAAAAAAACCACCTGCACATGTACGCTTACGTTACTGTTTTAGCCTGTATTCAGAATGCACAGATGAAATATCTACCAACTATTTTCGACAAAAAAATTGATATCAGAAATGTTTTGTTTCAAATTTTGATTTTGTCACTCGTTCTTCATCTCAATAAACGTTTTTATTGTATATGGTATATAAAAAACAAATAGCATACATTTGGATAGCGGTAATATTGATACGGTTTTATTTCAGTTTTTGTAGTCACATTGTCGTTTGCACACGTTGAATATTTAGTTTGCGATTTTGATCACACGGTTATAGTTGTTTTCTCTCAATTTACGTGTTGCTGATGATGAAAAGAGTTTTGTCGAAATGCATACAAAAGTTCATTGAATCTTGTTATAAATAAATAATATTCTTCCATTGTGAAATCAATCTAAAGTGCTTTTTTACTTTCAGCGATTTAATTTATCGCTACATCACGGTTCACTGTTCACAAACTATGATTTATTATCTGAAAACGCATATGGAAATGTTCCATCAGTTGTCATTTACATAAACAATAAAATTGCTAAGCGTAAAAATAAAATAAAGACGCGTTTTATTCCTGAGCACAAAGGCAATCAAAAACAATAATAATTTTCAAATATTTGAAGAAATATTCAACAAGAGTCTTATAGAATCCATAACATTCGCTATCAGAAATGGGACACTCCGTTGGGCAGGCATTCAAGAGTAAGAACACGCTTGTTAAAAGTTAAATACACTCAGAGTTTTCTGAAATTTTATGGCGATTTTTAATTGGTTCACTGAGCTTATACTATTTTAAAGTATTTTATTACCAAAACGAGCAACTTGGATACCATACTGATTAAAACATCTGCAAAATGTTTCACGTGACATCCATGTGTTCTGTTTATTAGTAAAATAACAAGAGAACTTACTTATTCGAAGATAATAGCGAAACTCTAAATTTATTACCTCTCAAATCATTTCAGAGGAAATTAACAAAGACAATATTACAAACACACTGTCAAATGTCGAAAAGGCTGAACCACAAAAGATTACGTATCCAAAACGAATATTTCTTATCATTGGCAATGAATTTTGTGAGCGATTTAATTTCAATGGAATGAAAGGTAAACCATAGAATCTAAAAGCAAAAAGGTGTAAACTTTACATTTTTTTAGCAATTTTGGCGCTTTACTTGAAAGACAAACTCGGTTTTACTGAGAATGATGCCACAGTACTGTTTCATACATTGGTAATGATGTTGTACTTCACGTGCATTTTTGGAGCCATTTTGTCTGACGTGTGGTTGGGAAAATTCAAAATCATTGTTTATTTATCAATTTTATACGCCATTGGAAGCACAATCATTTCAATCGGTGTTATCCCAACCATTGCAATATCACCTAAAATTGCACTTTACATCGGATTGATATTTATCGCTTTAGGTAGCGGTGGTATAAAATCATGTGTTATTGCTCTTGGAGGTGATCAATTTAAATTGCCTGAACAAAGCGAACAAATGACCACTTATTTCTCCATGTTTTACTTTACGACTCATGCTGGTGCATTCGTTTCAACATTGATCATTCCCATTCTAAGATCAGACATACATTGTTTCGGTGAAAATGTTTGCTATTCGCTTGCATTTGGAGTACCCGCATTGCTTATGATTACAGCTATACGTATGTTTTAATTTCAATTTATAGAAGAGACTTCTTGTTGAGATGTTTCTTTGTATTTTTTTCAGTGCTCTTCATACTGGGTAAATCATCTTACACATATGTTCAAACGTCATCCGAAAATATGTTGATGCAAATGTTGAAATGCATATGGGTAAGCACTTGAATGATCCTGAATTCTAGTTGAAATTGAGAAATAATTTATCTCTCTTATAGAATGCAATGATCGTCAAACGCCGCGAGGGAAAAACTAAGCCACGTGAAAATTTGCTTGATTATTCGATTGAAACGTATGGAGAACAAATGGTGAATGAGACGCGAATCATGTTAAAAATTTTGGTACTTTATTTACCTGTGCCTTTCTTTTGGGCATTACATTTTCAAACTGGGTCACGTTGGACGTTTCAAGCGAATAAAATGAACGGTGACATTCAATTCTACACTATCAAACCGGATCAAATGCAAATGATTGAATCAATATTTATACTCACATTCATTCCATTGTGTGAGCTTGTTATTTATCCATTGTTGAGCAAAATCGGTATACGACGTCCATTACAGAAACTTACAATTGGTGGCATTTTGATGGGAATCTCATTCGTCCTATCTGCAGGTGTCCAATACCAAATTGAATCGATGCCGCTAAATTCTGTGAATATGTTGTGGCAAATACCACAGTACGTTTTTCTGACTATGGGCGAAGCCGTGCTCGCAGTAACCGGCCTATCGTTTTCATATGAAGAAGCTCCACAGAGCATGAAATCGGTTGTATTATCATTTTGGTATTTTGAAGTTGCTCTTGGTAATATAATTCTCATTTTTATAGCCGGATTGGAATTGTTTGAATCGCGTACATATGAATTTCTTTTTTTCTCGGTATTAATGTTTTGCAGTATGTTTGTATTCGCAGTTCTTGCTTATAATTATGAAAAATTAAAAAAAACTGAAAAAACTTCCTTTCAATCACGTTTTATTAAATGATGCGAAAAAAGAGAAAATTTAAATTACTGCCCCATTGTACTCAATTAATTTTAAAATGTTTTCATTGAGATAATTTGATCAACAGTGAAAGTGTTAACTGATAGATTTATCGAAATATCAACTAAATGTAATTAATTTTTATATTTCCATGAATAAAGTTTTATATTTTTACAGTTGATAAAACATATTGCATTGAAATTTATTGAAGAAAAGCAAAGAAAAGTTACATAAAATGAAAGTACAGAACTGATTTTATGCTAATCCAATTCTTTGCTTACAAGTGAAATCCCCCCATCAACAAGAAGCAAAGCTCCATTAATGAATGATGCTGTTTCATTATTGGCCAAAAATGCGATCGCATTGCTCGTATCTGATACTTCACCTACGCGTCCAACTGGATAGCCGTTTGCCACTTCATTGTATAAATGTTCAGCCAACTCTGGAGAATATACTGATCCAAGGTAGGGTCTTGAAAAATCTGTTCGAACATGGCCTGGATTGATCGCATTCACTCTGATTCCCAAGGGAGCGAGATCCAATGCAGAGCATTTGGTGAACTGTGAAATATTTTGGTGGTTTTCAATTTTTTTACGATTTGATTTAATAATTATATTTTATTACTTGATCCAAAGCCGCTTTTGATATGCTATAAGACATTGAATTTTGAACAGGTTTCAATCCAGCTACGCTCGACACATTGACAATATTTCCCATTCTTTTTTTGAGATGTGGTACACATAGTTTGGTTAATATAATAACACTACGCAAATTTGTATCAATTACTCGATCAAAGTCGGCGACATTCACATCAACAACATTATCGTAAATTCCAAATCCAGCATTGTTCACCAACACATCCAAATTTCCAAAGTATTTGATCGTTTCATTCACAATTCGTTCAGTATCTTTAGTAACATCTGCCACAATAGGCAAAACTTGACAGCCCATTTCCTTGATTTCATCAGCTACTTTATTCAGACGCTCCTCATTTCTGCCAAAAATTGAAACCTTTGCACCTAGTCGAGCGAAATTTCGAGCTGCATCGGCACCAATTCCACTGCTAGCACCACTTATCAACACTACTTTACCACTGAAACTCATTTTTTTACAATTTTAATTTCGAAAATTTCGACTATATTCAATAGGTGATCGCTGTAGGTGATACAAACTCACTTGTGAATATTTGTTGATTGGTGCGCGTATATTTATACTGTATGTTTTATGGTATATTGCAAGTATTCATGCAATTGTGTATGTATTGTAATTATATGCAAATAATGGTTAATAAACGAACGTCACAGACGTTCAAAGTATTACTGTTCATAATGGGTTTATTTAATTATTTGTTTTGATCAATATTTAAAAAAACTTGGGCGAAAAGTCCACTTTCGTGGCTCATTGTAAACAAACCAAACCTATGATTTCAAACCAGTACTACGGTTTTGATCAAACTTCGTCAGATACAGATGATGACTTTTAGTGTCCTCTTCTCAGTCTATGTATTTCGGATGGATATCCATCCGAGATATTTTAGAATATCTGGATATTTAACGCAACTGCACAGAGCCAGAGCTGTGTGCGTCGCACATATAATCTACGGTATGTCGCTACACGAAAAATACCGGCTATGTGTGATTGTGTACGTGCGGAACTTGATACACATATACGTAGCGACTTACCGTAGATTCTATTTGCGACGCACACAGCTCTGGCGCTGTGCAGTTCCGTTGAATATCCAGATATTCTAAAATATTTCGGATGGATATCCATCCGAAATACATAGACTGCCTCTTCTCAACTGGATAAAGCTTATTGGCCGATGAACAACCTGCACTGCCACTACGTTTGGCTATAATATGTAACACTAGATTTTTGGAACTAAATTCAATTCAATAATTCTCAAAAATCAAAACCTTTAAAATTCTTATTTTATTTGGAAAGTATTATACAACATATTTCCGACTTTGGGGCGTACAGCGCCCGTAGTGCATTTTTGTATGGGAATTGGTTGTTTTATTTTGAAGTTGAATTTTGGCGCTGTTTTTAAGGTGGATGTATATACAAAACCTTTCTATTTATTACTTATACTGTTTAATGTATTTTTATGGCTTTTATCGCTGCATTGACGCACTCTCCGAAGTATAGAATATTGAACTTTACCCAAATGGTTGAATTGCGGACTTACACGGAGTATGAACGGAGCTGTGCGGAGATAGACGAGAATTGTATTAAGAATATGCGTACGCATAGTAACCATTGCGCGCACACTAATTTACTTTCATCCGATTTACTCTCATCCGTTGTATGCTGTTTTCGTCTATCTCCGCACAGCTCCGCTCATACTCCGTGTAAGTCCGCTATTTAACCATTTGGGTAACATTCTTTTTTGCGACATCTTCTACGTTGAACCATAAAAAAATTAATCGAGATTTTGAGTTAAATTGTGTTATTAAACAATTCACTGCAACAATCCAACTGTTCTGGTGTGTTTTTTTAAATATAAATATCCAACGTTCTTAAAAATCTATTTTTACTCGAGATCAAAGAAATACTTCTTATCTTATCACATTCCATATGTATGTGGACGATGAAACGGGCATTCTTTACTTTGACATCTTAATGCAGTCAAATGCGCAAAATTATCACAGAGAACAAAATTTGTTGAATAAAAAAAATTTATAAAATAATAAATGGTTTACAAATATATGTATCATATACGACCGTTCACGATCATCAAACAATATATGACGACAACGAGACCGATTTGCTGTGTCCGTTTCAACAAATTGAGAAAATAAAATGACTCCTTTTGCAGAGACTTATACAGATTTTAAAACACAATCCATTCGAGATAGATTGAATTTCCGATTAGAAATCATTTGCGTTTGGTTCTACCACCGTTTCAACAATTTCCCAAATTTTTAGTTCTGGCACGAGTTCAGGAAATATGCCAAAAATCGAAAAATCTACTTTTTTACCAAAAAAAAGAAAACCACCATAAACGATATTTTCCTGCAATTTTGGCTGTTCAAAAAAAGTTCCAGATTTAGAAGCCTTGAAAACTAGAAAAAGACGATATTCGATATTGGTATTTCAATATTCCAATATAAATCAAAACAACCTTAAACCTTTTTTTTCTGGGTTGCAGGTGATATTTCTTTTGCAAAAATTCTTGTCTCTTATTGTTTTGTTGGTGTATAAATTTTAAGGTACAGTGAGTCAACCATTTTTTTCAAAAACACAACAACATATTTTATAACACTCACACCTAGGGACTGGGAACTTGAAAAAAAAAAACCACTTTACGTGGCTATTTGTGATTTTCATTGTCACTATTAATATAATAATTATTTTAAAAAAAACTTGATTTCTAGGGGAATGTCATGGATGACGCGTCTCATATTGCGGAGGACATAAAAGATTTTATCAAGCAACGTAGGACGGATTTTGGTCCAGATCCACTTTTGTCGTTTCAACGACGTGGAGAACTTGGCGGTGGTGGAAATGCGGTCGTATGGCAAGGTAATCAATTAAACCCCCAGCCGAATGATGATTCGAATATTTTTTTTTATTTCACAAACGAATGTCAAGTGACTATGGTAGTACGCCAGTTGCCATCAAAGTATGTTGGAAAGAAAGAAAAATGCAAAGAGAGGTAGCAATAATGAGATCCTTTAAATTATTATTTAAATATACTTTTTTTATATTAATAGATTTTGATTTGGCGACGCGAAATGGACACCGAATCGATGGTGGAACCGTAGAATATGTAATCTGTTTTGTTGTTTCGTTCAATAGGAATCCACTTTTTTACCGAAACTGCACATTGATTTGTATGAATTTCAAATAGATTTGATACAACTAATTTCTGGACAGATCAGCCTAGGTAAGTAAACATTCGAAGAAATAAATCCGAATAAAATTGTGAATGTCTCTATAGACACGCGATGGATGATCTTGTGTCCTTGATTTATTCTCTTTGGTCCGTGTCTGGTATTCAGTTGGGTAAAAAAAACAGAATCACGGGTAAAATTAGCAAATATGAAGGCCAGGTGATGAGTACACTCAGCTCAGAAGAAGCTTCTTCTAGAGTATATGTAAGTAGAAAAATACTTTTGATTAAATAATTTAAAAAAATGATTTTCAATTTTTTTTTCATCTCATTAGGAAAAATGCAGAAAATTCAAAGATCCCCATGTTCAACAAGCCTTTTGGAACATTTCTGCCACAGGATGGTTAGCGGGAGCAACAGATATAGACTACAATGCAGTCATAAATTATTTGAACGATGCTATTAGTTCTTTGGCTGGACCCAGTTTACATGGGTCTTCCAGTAGATGGTTTCCAACATAAAAAATATCCCGAAAATAAAATTTGGTCAGTTGAAATTCATTCACTTCTTCTTCAATTTTTGTTTTTGATAATTACTATTTTTCATGAATCCATTTGATTCATTTTTCAAAGTGCCTTATAACAAAAAAAACGAGAATTAAAAACACGATTTCTCTTATCTGTATTCCATGATATGTCTTTTCATTTATTACTACAGCTTACAGTGAAATAATAAAACTGCATATAAATTCCAAGTTATCTTTAGTAAATAATGCCATATCAGACTTCTCTTTTTTTCTCAAATGTTTCATCATCAATTATGGTGTATTTAAATTCACGAAATCCAAATGGATTATTCATTGAAGTTTTCATTGAGTCGCTAGCAATGTTTGGGTAAACATCTAAAATTTTTGCGAGGTCTGCAGCTTGAGAAACTTGGCCATAATACTCCTTACTATCATCTATGCCAACAATATGAATTCTACTTTTGTAATGACCTTTCTTCTGTTGACTTTCCGCAAAATCTTGCATATCTTTCAACATTTCTGATTTTGGCGGCAGTTTCTTGGCTCCAGAAAAGAATTCCAGTGCAAAACGCACCTGTTGATATATTCACATTATTTATAGTTGTTATTTATGATCATCAATTAGTTATCAAATTCACCTGTAAATCTTTGACGCGAAAATTTGCCGCAAATGTATCAATGGAAATCAAAGCCATAGTCGGGTGCTCGATATTTATGATTTGCTTATAGAGTGGTTGCACATAATTGTCATCAACACGAAGACCTGTGTCAGCATCCAAAATCGAGAACGAATTTTTGTAACCTGACAGTGGTAGAAATGATTTTATTTTCTTAGTATTCTTTCTTTTATTGCTTCGTAACGTAATGTTTTCTGTGTTGGGATTCTAGCAAATAATTCCGATCGGAATTATTTTTGGTCGGAATTATTGTTTATATAAACAAATTTATTAAGAAAAGAAGTGAACAATCGAACACGTTGTTCCACATGCAAGTACAGTAGATATACAACGTCGAGTATCGTTTGTGTGTGGAACAATGTGTTCGATTGTTCAATTCTTTTCTTAATGATTTTGTTTATATAAACAATAATTCCGACCAAAAATAATTCCGATCGGAATTATTTGCTAGAATCCCAACACTGAATGGAATGAATGAACATCTGTTTGCTAGGGATTTTTTTTCACCTCCCTGAAAATATTAGCTTGCAAACTACTGCTTCTATTGTATGAAAAATAAACATGTCTTTATTGGAGAAATAGTATAAATTACCTGTCGCATAAATAATTACAGTGAAGTTTTGATGTGTGCCATCCAGAAATTCAGCCCCCGACGAAGTAAGAAGTTTCACATTGTTTTTAAATGTAACCGTTTCGCCATACACTTTTCGTTCTTCTTCTGTTTCGTCGGTATATGTACGTTTGCTCCATGTCACTCGGTTGGCAGTCTTTGAAAGTTGAAAAATAATATCGCTTCCGCTGCTTCCCGATCCGATAACTAGAACATCAGCACCTAATTGATATTTAAATGATAAATGGTTTCTTTTTTGTTACGAGTCAAACGTTTCACTATTTTAAATATTATATTATTAAATTTAGGTGGTAATAGTTCTTTCTTTTAGATAGGTGCGAATTTTTGATAATCTATTTTGAATCTTTCCACCTTGGTTACATTTGGGAGTATTTTTTATTTGAAAACAGTGCAAATACCACAACACATGAAGAGAAATATCGATTATCTATAACAAACCATGAAAGTCTTCAGCTCTGCGGTATTCATGGCTATGCATGATTTTTCCATTGAATTCGTTGGCACCTTCATATTGTGGATAATTAAGTGTAGATAATTTATCAATGGAAATAAAAACCGCATCATAAATCATCGTTCTAGTCTTATTATTTGGCAAATCTTTCACAATTATTTTCCACTGGTCGTTTTCAATCGAATGGATTTTTTCCACCAAATGATGGAACTTTATGTGCTTCTTCAAACCAAATCGATCAGCGTATGAGTTCAAGTAGTTCCATATATCCTCATGAGGTGGATATGATGGAGTATTTTTTGGAAATTGAAGGCCCGGTAATTCCATAATTTGGCGAGGTGTATTTGTTCTGTGAATACAAGCAATCTTTAATATTTTTTGTATTGAAATTACGTATACACACGTACCTTAAAACTTGATACATTGCTGTGTAAATATTTATACCGTACTCGTCCTTTCCAGTTTTGTTTGTATAATACCATGTGCCACCAAGTGCTTCACTCTTTTCGTAGACCACTACATTGTGTCCTTGTTCGAGAGCGTTTTTAGCACTGCATAGACCCGACACACCCGCACCGACAACGGCAATATTCAACGTCTTAGAATTTGAAGGCAACGCATGTAGGCTTAGAATTGTAAATATCAATACTAAAATAATACATCTATCTCTGCGCATCACATTCATTTTGCTCGCTTTGAAAAAAGGAAAAATAATATACCTAGTAAGTCTAAAAAAGAATCGATTTAACCCTCATAGGTATAGTTCGAAATAAAAACAATATAGTATAGTTACGGTCTACTAGACCGTTCATACAAAATACAGGGAAACCAAACAAAAACCAAAACAAAATCACACATTTTTTCAAATTTTTGCATTTTTTTAAAAATAAAAACATTGAAAAAGGTTTGAAAGTTGAAAATTGAAAAGATTTCAAGAAAATAATTAATTTGAATCATCAGAATAATTTACATGAGAGCGTTTTTTTCGCATTTTGCACACAAAACAGTGATTTTCGAATGTTCGCCGCATACATTTTTATTGCATTTGTCGCAACATGTTTTGGTGTTACGATTGATTGAACTTGGACATAAATGACATGCACGTCGTTGCCGTGGTGTAACTGGCGCTTCTTGTTCCTCTTGACCCATCAAATGCTCACGAACTTGTTTGAAAGCCGACTGATTAGATGCATTCATGCCGCGCGCTGTTCGCCGTACGATATGATCGTAAACTAAAACTTCATACAATTCAATCAAAAATGTCTTGCGTTGAAATGCATACTGTTCATGCGTGATATCGTGACTTGTGTTGTAAACAACAAATGCTGCACCACATATGTTGATGAGGTTCATGAAGAATGCAAATGGCCATCGATTGGTTCCACGTTGACATGAGTGTGAATGGCACATTTGATCCTTAGTTTGATCCAAAACATCCACACCGCCTTTCGTGTTATTGTAGACTAAAGATCGATTTTTCTCTGACAGACATTTTGTTGAAATAATAATATGATGTACGCGATAAACAAGAATGATTCAAATTGATTTTACTTGAGAATTTCAACCTATCTTCTCGTTTTCCAATTTAATTTTTCATTTTTTTTAAACGAATATCATAAATTTTCACCAACTTGATTTGTGAAAATGCTTGATTATGTGTTTCCCATACATTTTGTACGGACGGTCTAAGAGACCGTAACTATACGATCAAGTAAGGATTTTCGTCTTTCTGGATTTTTATTTTTTACAGAACAGTTTCAGGATTTTAAATGTTAATTTCAATATTTATCCATTATTCTTGTAAAAAGGCGAAAATGTGATGGCAATCGGTCTACGCTATTCAATTTTATGATATTTTTTTTTTGTTTTCGGTCTAATAGACCGTTACTATACTTAGGAGGGTTAAGGAAAAAATGCATCGATCGAATCGAACTTATACAACTTTTTTCTACTTACAATTTGGTGAAACAGTTCCGATTGGAGAGTTATGTGCTGAACTAATTCGAATAACCAAGTGGCATGGTATTTATATTCGTTTAATAAAAGATAAAGTAGAATAAATGTCACGAATAAATATCACGATTAAATGTTACGAAAAAATAAACGACTTTCGGAATATATTTCAAAGTAAATAGCCATCAACATATAAAAGCTCACAAATGTTATAAAACTGTTTATTACCAACATCATGTGATAACACATAAACACCGATCAAAATCGACTTGACATTTTTCATACAAACCATTTATTAAATTATTTCGATTTTAAATGATGTTTGGCACCTTTATATTGAGTATGCTAAAACTATTTTGATATTTATTTAATTTTATAACAATGAAATAAAAACAAAAATTGAGTTTGAATGCATTTCGGTTTCTCTAACAGACCATCCTCAGCGATACGATTGAAATCATGAAAAAAGTTTATTACAAAATCAAACAGTACTTTTTCTTAGAATAAAAACCATTCAATTCATTTAAATTATAAAACAAACGAGATACAAATAAAATGCAGTGTCTGTGTATAGAGTTGATGTTTACAAGCAAAGACCAAACAAAACTAATTCAATGTTCCCTTTATCAGCATTGAGAGCATTGCTATCGCTCTGTATGCATATAGACTTTTATTAAATGTTTCGCTTGCTCTGTTTCTGTTCAAAAAGCAAACAAAATATTTGTCAAAAGATTAGAAATACATTGCATATTATTGTTCTCACTGAAATTGATCCAATATTAATAAACCCCAATTTAATACATTTTATGTAGAGACTAGAGAGCCAATTAAGATATCATGCGATCATGTTTATGGTGTTGATAATCGCCGTTCAGAATATAGATACATTTTTTCGTATGATCTTAGTTATTACCAAGCTTTCAATAAAATAATAAATAAGTTATTATATCACTCATTTCTTTCTTTTGTGAATGCTTTATCATCAATTTTTGATGGTAGTCCCTTGGCCTGAGAAAGAAATTCTGTGAAAACATACCTGTTTTTTACTTCTGCTGAAATGAATGATGATACAATTTTTTTGGCAAAGGGTAAACGTGTGTCAAAAATGGGAAATTGGCTGACAAAAATGGGGAATTGAACCCCCAAAAATGGGGAAATGGCTGTCAAAAATGGTGCGTTGGGTTGTCAAAAATGGGTAATTGGCTGCCAAAAATGGAAAATTTGGCTGTCAAAAGTGGGAAAATGTGGCTTTAAAAAATGGGGAAATTGCCCCCCAAAAATGGAGATTTGGCTGACAAAAACGTGGAGTCCTGCCAAAAATTAAGAATTTTCTGTCAATATGAGGAACTGGCTGTCAAAAATGAGGATATGGCTGCCAAAAATGAGGAATTGGCTGTCAAAAATGGGGAATTGGCTGTAAAAATGGGGAATTGGCTGTCGATAAAAAATATGAGAGATTAACACAATAAGGGAAGATTATATAAACGCCATCTGATATTAATAGGCGAGCAGATGGAACTAAGAATAATTGAATTTCATTGATAGCTCTAGCGGGGAACAATATGAAACAACGAAATGAAAAAAAAACTAAAACCATAAGAAAGATAATTTAATTAAAGTATCAAATTGTATCGAATAATATTACTTTTTCTTACTTTCAAGACATTTTTACACATTTTTGTCGTTTTTTTTTATCGACGCATTTTTGACAGCCAATTCCCCATTTTTGGGGTCAATTTCCCTATTTTTGGGGGGCAATTTCCCCATTTTTGACAGCCAATTCCCCATTTGTCACAACCAAACGCACCATTTTTGACAGCCATTTCCCCATTTTTGGGGGGTCAATTCCCCATTTTTGTCAGCCAATTTCCTATTATCATACACCGAAACCATTTTACCAATTTTTTTATCACATAGACCTGTAAATTAAAAACATGAAAATACAATGGAGTGAATAGCAACTGTCAAAAAGTTCAATTTTAAGAGTTATTTATAAGATGTTATCAATCTGAACTCGAAACTGACACTTGTAACACGTTCTTACGTGTTTTTTTTCGGAGCAAAAGAACTGTCGTGTCAAATTATTTGTAAAAATTGAATTTTCCTCACAAAAACGTTTTAGTCTCAAACTTTTTGAAAGCACTGTAGTTAAAAATGTTAATTAAACTTTTGGAATCCATTTTTTTTTCATGTGTATTGGTTTTTGCCAATTTTTGTGAAGAAAAGAAAAACAAAAATAATAAATGTAGAAAATTATAAAATTCATGCCACATATTCTGTCATCATCAAAGAAAACAAACAAAAAACAAAATATTTCTCGTTAAATATTATCGAGGTTGCCCATTCCATACTTTATTCGCTATCTATTCAATGTTGAATGTAGAACTTAGGTAAAAGACTTAAAAAAAAGATTGATATTATTTTGGAATCGAAACAAAATGATAGTGGTGCCAAGAAAAAAATGGGTTCTTTTGGGGTTGATTCTAGTATTATTATTTAAAACATCGATTGCATTGAATATCGCTGTTATTGGTGCCGGTGCGTCGGGTCTGGCAAGTGCAAAGAATGCTCTCGAACAGGGCCACAAAGTGGTCATTTTTGAAAAAGGACCAAGACTTGGTGGAATTTGGTGGTACACAAACAGAGTTGGGAAGGACGAATACGGTGTTTATATTCATAATGCAATGTATCAAGGACTCAGGTTCTGGCAATCAATTAATTACACTATTTGCATGATCCAAAGTAAACATTTAAATTTATAGAACGAATACACCATATGAAACGATGGAATTTCGTGGTCACCACTTTCCAAATGGTACAGAGTTTTTTCCAAAGTCGTATGTTGTTTGGAATTATTTGAATTCATACGCCAAAAAGTTTAATGTGTCGAAATACATAAAATACCATCATTTGGTTGAGAAAGTACACCCAATCAAAAATAAAAGGTGGAAAATCACTGTGAAAGACTTGCCGAATAAACGCACCCACACGAATACGTATGATGCCGTCTTTGTTTGCACGGGTGTATGTTCTTCGCCACGTTTTCCCAATTACAACGGAACATTCAACGGATATACTTTACATAGCCATGATTATCGTAGTCCTGAACATTTTGAAGGTATATTTATATGATCGAACTTTGTTATGAATTCACACAACAACATGCCTTTTGATATTACCATTTGAGTTTATATTAATTTGTTTCAATTTTGAATTTGAAATAGGAAAAGATGTGTTGGTTGTCGGAAATGGGGATAGTGGATCAGATATAGCCGAAAAATTGTTTGGAATAGCCAAATCTGTGACGCTCAGCGGCCGTACATCTTTGCCATTTGGTTATTATAACAACATTTCTAATTTGCAATAATTACAACAGTATTTAATTTGAAGCTTCATTATTCGAATCGTCGGAGAATTCGAAGTCGCTTTTGATTGAAAAAAATACATGAGGAATTGTTCATAGAAGTGAAGTGACACCAGTGAAGTGAACCGAGTTTGACATTTATTATAAAACGGAGCTAGAGGAATGTTCAAATGGTTTGTATGGCAAACATACATTCGCCACGTGTGTGTAGCGAATCGCTACTAGCGATGCTTCGAATGTATGTGTGCTCAACTATTTTCAGAACGTTCTGCTAGCTCCGGTTCTTTCGTGGATGAAAACAATGAAATGTTTTGGTTTTGGTTAACTTCTCAGGATGATACCTTTCAGTTTATCTTTAGTCAAAAACGAATAAAGCCACGTCCAAAGACATACACGTTCATGTGAACAAATAAAATGTCAAAATAAATACTTTTATCCAGATTCCAGATTTTCGAATTGTATTGTTAATTTGAGAAAACTGTACAATTCTAGATATTGAAAGCGGACCGGAATCGTCTGATAGCGAAGATATATCTTATAAGATCATGATAAAAGGCGGTGTAAAATGTCTTACAGCAGATGGAGCCGAATTTGTTGATGGAACCCATAGTAATTTCTCGGTGATTATTTACGCAACAGGTACTTCAGAACTTAGCGAAAACGGAAATTATAATTTCAACAGAAAATGTTCATAATGATTGTCCAAATACATTTTCAGGTTATTTATACGCATATCCATTTCTGAGTAAAAAAACTGGCATTCACACGGAAAACAACTATGTGCGACCACTTTATAAGCAAATAATAAACATCGAACATCCGACGATGGCTTTTATTGGTGTACCTTATGGTGGTCCCCACAATATGATGGCCGAAATGCAAGTAAATATGATATTTTTCTAACTTTTTGCCACAAACCAAATCTAAAACATTTAAATATTGTCGTAGGTACGTTTTGCGTTGAAATACCTTTCTCGAGCCAAGAAATTGCCAGGAAAGATAGACATGTTAAAGGATACGCAAAATAAATTGGAAATCCGTGCAAGGAAAGGAATTTCCGAAACAAAATTTCATCATTTATTCGAAAAAGACGAGGACGGGAGTGATTATCTCATAGATCTTAGAAATACCGCGGGTGTTTAGGGAAATATCAAAAGAAATTCTCTAACTACATCAACATCTTTGATAATTCTTCACTTTCAATGGTGGTTTTTATTATCTTGTGATCGATTTCTTCAATTTAAACACATAAATCATTGGAAATAAATTTTTTGTATAGCATTCTGTCTAAAGTGCTTTTGTTTGCGCTTATATTCGATACCACATTTGGTACATCAAATCATTTGTATATATCTGCTTACAACAGTGCGATTTCACACTAGCATGCTGATTCTCAGCACGAGAACGGCGTGAATTCAAGTGGCTTTGCGTTAGTTTGCACAAGTAACGTACTACTGTATAATTCTGTGTGTATCAAACATTTTGGTATTCAAGAAATAATTAATGAGCAAATCCCATTGTGCCAGGAGTAAAACAAAACATCACATCCATTTTTTTAATTTCTTTTTATATTATTATCCTTCTTTCATAGTATCACTATGCTAACGGACTCCCAAAATGTGGAGATGTGCGAAGCTGTATTTATTTATACGTGAACAGTTTTATGGAACGCATAATAATCAAATGAGTGCATACAACTGAAGGTGTACTATTGTGTTGTGTACAGCTCCGCACATCTCCGCATTTTAACTAATTGTTTTTCGGGACAGTTTTTCTCACCATGTGTATGAGAAAACTGATTCTGGAATATGTTGAATATCTGCTGTGTCTGCAAGGTCAGTGTAATATTCATCCCGACCCATTTTCAATGCATGAAATCTATTTAATGGATAGTTTTCGGTCATTCGATTTTGAATTTGTGTCCAGGTGTCCATTGTCATTTCATCTTTTGTCGGCAATTTCTTGTCGCCAGAAAGGAATTTCAAAGCAAATCGTGCCTTTTAAAACATTTAAGCAATTTAGAATTGATTGCTGTTGTTATTGCTGTTATGTCTATGAAAATGTCATTTTACCTGCAAATCAACCATTACATTATGCATACCCCCGGAAGGTATACCAATAAAAGCCATCGTCGGATGTTCGATATTTATAATTTGCTTATAAAGTGGTCGCACATAGTTGTTTTCTGTGTGAATGCTAGAACTTTCATTCAAAAATGGATATGCATATAAATAGCCTGAAAATTTATTTCGAGATCCATTATGAACATTTTCGGCAAAAATTATAATTTTCCTCTTCAATATCAGTTCTGCATTACCTGTTGCGTAAATAATCACCGAGAAATTACAATGGGTTCCGTCAACAAATTCGGCTCCATCAGCTGTCAGACATTTTACATCGCATTTTCTTATGATTTCATCCCCATCTTCTTCGTCATCAGACCATTCCATGCTATTATTATCTACAAAATTGTAGAATGTTTGGAAAATAACAATAAAATTGACGGCCTTAGAAGAAAACAATATTATACAGAACATGCTGCAAATAATACTAATACAAATTTTATGCGAGCAAAAACCAAATATATACTTACATGTGTTTCTTATGTAAGTAGGCTGGTTTTACTTTTGCCTTTTGATTTTTGCTCGCATAAAATTTGAATTTTCTTCTAAGGCTGTCAATTCTGAATAAAAAATTATTACTCATTCTTGTCGGTTCAATTCAAGCAACAGTCAATTAACCAAATGCTCACTAACTCAAATTATATATTCATTCGTTGTCAACTGTGCTTCAATCGGAATGTAAATTTTTGTTGATTTTATAATTCAATTCGAAGTTCGATCACAATTCAAAGAAATTTGTTGTTTGAAACACTCTTGTTGTAAAAAAGTTGAACTTTTTTATCGGTTTGCAGTTATTCGACGGTTATTCGTTACGCAATAGAATTAAAGAAAATCTACTGAAATTAATTTATAATAACCTAATGGAAGACGTCCACGAGCGCTGAGCGTCACAGTTCTTGCTGTTGTCAATAATTTGTTGGCTATATCTGTTCCACTTACACCATCACCGACAACTAGAACATCTTTTCCTATTTCAAAATGAAATATAAAATGAAATGGCAATATAAATTTGAAACAAAGTTTGATCATATAAATATACCTTCAAAATGTTCAGGACTACGATAATCATGGCTATGTAAAGTATATCCGTTGAATGTTCCGTTGTAGTTGGGAAAACGTGGCGAAGAACATACACCCGTGCAAACAAAGACGGCATCATACGTATTCGTGTTGGTGCGTTTATTCGGCAAGTCTTTCACAGTGATTTTCCACCTTTTATTTTTGATTGGGTGTACTTTCTCAACCAAATGATGGTATTTTATGTGTTTCGTCACATTAAACTTTTTGGCGTATGAATTCAAATAATTCCATACAACGTCAGATGTTGGATATTTTGTTGTGCGATTTGAGAATTGAATGCCTGGAAATTCCATGGTTTCGCATGGTGTATTCGTTCTTTAAAAATTAATTTTAATATTTAGTTTGGATCATGCAAATAGAGTGTAATTAATTGATTTTCAGAACCTGAGTCCTTGATACATTGGAGTATGAATTTCAACACCGTATTCGTCTTTCCCAACTCTGTTTGTGTACCACCAAATTCCACCAAGTCTTGGTCCTTTTTCAAAAATGACCACTTTGTGGCCCTGTTCGAGAGCATTCTTTGCACTTGCAAGACCCGACGCACCGGCACCAATAACAGCGATATTCAATGCAATCGATGTTTCAAATAATAATACAAGAATGAACCCCAAAAGAACCCATTTTATTCTTGGCACCACTGTCATTTTGTTTGTTTTAAAAACCACAAATTCACTTTAACTATAAATTTAATTATATTTTTATATATTTTTAAATTGAATAAAACGATAAAAAGAAGAACACTTGAAGCTACTTGCTACTTACCTCATGCGAATTTCGAATATTTTGCACAGAAGTTAAGTCGGTACTACGTAGTCTATATTCGAAACTTGAATAGATAGCAAATAAAGTCTGGAATGATTAACGTCATTAATTCAACGAGAAGTTGTTATAAAAAGCAATGGGTCGAATTTATAATTTGCTATAAACATATGTAAAACAACGACAAAATTTATTACTTCTATTTTGTATTTTTGCGAGAAAAAAAAATTTAATTTCAAAATTTGTGAACAATTATGGATATTCAGAAGAAAATATTTCCATATATTTTGTAAGACATCTGGGTGAAACATTCCAAATAAAATATGGAAAAATATAATAAATTGGGTAACTTTTCATAGTGGGACTTCTCAAAGTGTTTCAAAATGAATTCCGTATTTTACTATGCTGAATTGTGCCCAGCCCTCAATTAGACAGACACTCATTACATCGTTTAATATTACACCTCAATGGTGCATTCAAACCGCCAATATTTTAACTTTTACTTAAAATGCGCACAAAACTAATGAAATTGACCGATACGGTATATTTACGAAGAAAATCCATGATTAAGCAACTTGCCGACCAAAAGTATTTGATCAAAAAATTTGTATATATACCATTTTAAAATCGAACTCGTCTCAATTGTTTCAAACAATCATTTATTCTTTTTTTGGCGACGAGAAAAAACCATTAGACATTAACATGTAAACGATCTTTTGAATTCATCAGCCACGGCGATTAAGTTCGTGAAAAATACCAAATATAGGCCTCATTTTTTCTTAAAATGATAACATACTATACCTTTCTCCAAACCATTTATAGAACAATACCGCATTTTTACGATTCTTACGCATGTTACGCACTTAAAAAAAATGATCATGTTCAACCGTAATTTATGTATATTTTTTTCTCGTTTAATTTAACGCCTACCCGTTAAATTAGATACGAAAGTGATGTGAACTAACAAATAAGAAAAAATGTGTAACCAACTATTTGCAAAACAACAACTGTCTGACTGTTTAAAATTCACATCTAATATGAATGTATGATATAAATTGCGTGCGTCATTCAGATCGATGTTTTGGCCATGCTCCGAGAGAATGCTGAACACATCTTATACACATCGGTATAATATTTGAAGACGTTCTTTTACAAATGGTTTTTTTTTTGTGAAAATAACGGACCTTTAACTACAACGAATGTCATGTGAGGTTTTATTTCTATTTCTTGACTTTCATAAGTATGTTACGATCACTGGGCAAAATAGTAAGTCGGTGCAAAAAAATTTGCCGAAAGAAGTATTCAAATTTCAATGAAAATGCCGGTTCAAGCAATAAGAGTACACAATTCCGAATTTTCTAAAAAATACTGTATTTTTTATTGATATTTGGCGAAAGATTAACTTATAAAATATCAAACTTATTTTTATAATTTTCTCGTTCATTATTCTATCACTAGCTTGGGTTAAATTTGGTGCCCGAAGCTCATCAATTGTTTGTTTCTTCATTACTATTCGGAAAGTGTGAATTTTCTATGTTCTCCGACGAAGGAAAATTATAACCAAAAGGTATGACTGGTATATATAATGGAATCCTATTTGAACCGAATAGATTTCGATAAAAGTTTTGTGTGAACTGATTTTCTGTTTGCTTAACTGGTTTCACTTCCGATTCAAATTCATCATTTTGATTTGGAATACTGAATGGAATTATTGACCGAAGCGTATTTCGGTTATTTGTTATAGATTTCTTAGTCGGTCTTAGCTTCGTTGGGCGTTTCGTTGGAATTTTTATTGGTGCTGCTGTTGTGGTGGCTTTTGACTCTGTTCCGGTGCTGATTGCACCTTTTTTATTATTTTCATCTATCGTGAATGTAATATCATCAGTTGGACTTTCTTCATCCACCGGGTCAGTTAGTGGTATCTCTATAGTAATGGTGTTCTCCATCGGAGGTGCTTCTGTTCCACTTGGTATATCGATAGTTATTGTTTCTTCTTCAGAAGTTGTCATATTTTGAGCGATAACTGACGCATTAGTTACGTTGGTTCCGATAAAATTCACTATTAAAACGATCGGCTTGCCCGGTTCAATATAATTGTGATTATGAATATGAATGGTCCTATTGCATCCGGAACATTCTTTACCCGGTTTTTGTTTTCCGGATGTCCAATTTGAAAATGCTTCACTGAATGTTGAATTCTTTATCGCTCGGTCCGATCTCATTTGAACGTGTAAACACTCGGTAATTTGAACACATTTATCGCCACTTCTCACTAATCCATCTTTACAGAAGCATCCTGTCACACACTCCGATTTTTCGCAAACATCTTCGGAAAATGTAATTTCCACCGATGAAGACGGATATCTACAACTCAATGCGCACTTTTTGCCACATTCTCGATACTCTTCATTTTCACCACAATTTGCTTTGTTCGTTTTTTGGGAAATATCCAGAAATTTTTTTGCATCAATCAATACGGTGGTCGACTCATTATCAACGTGCACATGTTTGGCTTAAAACATAACAAAAAACGAAAAAAAAAATCAGTCAAAACTCAAAACTAAATCATTTAATGAATAATATGCTATCACTTAAAATTACCTGATACGAAAAATGTGCACAAAAATAATGCCAATGGCCAATACGGTATATTCACGAAAAAATCCATATTCGAGTAAATTTCCGAGCAAAAGTATTTGATAAACTGAATATGATGACACCAAAAATGTTCTTATATACCATTTTAAAATCGAACTTCTCCCAATTGTTTTAAACAATCATTCATTCGACTTTGGCGACGAGAATTTTGGTTTACATAATAAAATACATAAAAAAACCATTAGGCATTGAAATCTATACGATCTCATTCACAATATTTACATTCTAAAATATAGGCCTAACTTTTTCCATGTTCATACCGTAGTAACGCTATTGCGAACGATACCATTGTATCTTTCTTCAAACCAAAGATGGAACAAGATCAGTTTATTGAGATTTTTATTTTCTTATGCATGCTTCGCACCTCCAAAAAAACGTTGACAGTAATTTATGTATTTTTTTCTTCTCGTTTAATAGGCAGGGCGATCATATGTTTCGGCCAATGTAGGCCGAAAATGATGTAAACCAACATATGAGAAATAAATGTGTAACAAAATATTGAATGAACATTTGCAGTATAATGAGCTGAAAGACAAGATATTGACCGTTCGTAGTAGTTTGATATTCTTTATATCAAAAGAATGAATGCAGTTGGCCAATACAGCGATGCGATAAGAATGCGACACCTGTAAAAGAGGTAGGCAGATTACTCGATCTGTCTACATCAGAAGAACCAGTTTTTTATCTTAATATATATATCTGCCACTGCTATTCGAAGTTAAAATTTGGCTGTCATTGATTTAATTATGTATGATATACATTGTGTGTATCATCCAGACCAATCTCTTGTCCTATTTCGAGACAAAATTTCGTGATCTTCTTTGACATTTTTTTGAAGCAGAAAATATGACATCAACCAAAATTGTACAAATCGATGAAATGTTGATCCAAAAAATGGTGTCATAAAATGTGGATTCCTGTTTCTTGAATTTATTGCTGTTACGATCACTGGGCAAATTAGTGAGTCGGTGCAAACTTTTCGCCGAAAGAAATATTCGAAACTACTAATTGCAAAGAACATGCCGGTTAAAGCAATAAAAGTAGAGGATTAACACAAAAAATGAGATTGAGTCAGTGATAAGGCTGAAAATAAGCGAATGAATGAAGTTCAATTCTGATTTTGATTAATTTTTCAGTTTGATGAATGTTTTGTAAAGACAATTGACGATAGTTATCACAAACATTGATTTCAAGATGCCAATCAAGGTAAAAGAGTTCATTTTTGATACCTTCCTTAATTCATAGAGACTTTTTGAAAGCAAATAATATATGTTTTTACGATTTTTTTTAAAATAATCTTTTTTAATTAAAATATGGAGATTTTTTGTAAAAAATATTAAACTTATTTTCAAAAACATAAATTGATTAAAAATAGTTTCCATTATTCTATCACTAACTTCGGTTTTAATTTAATGGTCAAATCACTTTTTAGATAAATAAATAAGAATGATTTCGATGGAATGTAACCGTTAGACAATGAGTATGACTTGCTCATCAATTGTTTTATTCTTCATTGACATTAAGAGTCTGTGAAGTCTCTGTTTCTTCGGACGAAGCAAAATTATAACCAAAAGGTATGACTGGTATATAAAATGGAAACCTATCTGAACCGAATAGATTTCGATATATTTTTTGCATGAGTTGAGTATCTGTTAATGGTTTCGCTACCGACTCAATATCATCGTTTTGTATCGTGCTCACAGGTTTAGGTTCATCACGATTTAAATGACCAAAAGAAGCAATTGGAGCTGATCGAAGTGTATTTTTGTTATTCGATGTAGGTGTCCTAGTCGGCCTTAGCTTTGATGGGCGTTTCGATTTCGTTGGCATTTTTATCGGTGCTGCTGTTGTGGTGGTTCTTATTTCCGTTGCGTTGCTAACCGCAGTTTTTTTCTGTCCATCTATGGTGAAACTAATATCATCACCACCATTATTATCATCATCATTTGAACTATTTTTATCCACCGGGTCAGTAAGTGGTATCTCTATAGTAACTTTACTGGTGCTCTCCGGAGGTTCTTCTGTTTCAGCGGGTATGTCGATTGTAATTGTGGTAGATTCCTCCGTAGGCTCTTCAGGTGAACTTGGTACATCGATAGTTATCGTTGTTTCTTCTACAGGATCGGTGGTATTCGGAGTGACCGTTGTGGTGGATGTGGTTGATGTGGTGGATGTGGTTGATGTGGTGGATGTGGTTGATGTAGTTGATGTGTTTGTCCCATTTTTCCCGATAAAATTCACTATCAAAACAATCGGCTTGGCAGCTTTGATATGATTGTGATTATGAATATGAATGGTCGTATTACATCCGTTACAAGGTTTTCCAAGTTTTTCTTTCCCGATTTGTGTCCAATATGAAAATGCTTGACCGAATGTTGAATTCTTTATCGCTCGCTCCGATCTATTTGGGTCATACAAACACTCTGAAATTTGAATACATTTATCGCCACTTCTCACTAATCCATCTTTACAGAAGCATCCGGTCACACACTCCAATTTTTCGCAATCATCTTCGGAAAATGTAATTTCCACCGATGAAGACGGATATCGACAACTCAATGCGCACTTTTTGCCACATTCTCGATACTCTTCATTCTCATCGCAATTTGCTTTGTTCGTTTTTTGGGAAATGTCCAGAAATTCTTTTGTATCAATCAATACGGTGGTCGACTCATTATCAACGTGCACATGTTTGGCTTAAAACACAACAAAAAACGAAAAAAGAATCAGTCAAAACTCAAAACTAAATCATTTAATGAATAATATGCTATCACTTAAAATTACCTGATACGAAAAATGTGCACAAAACTAAGGCCAATGACCAATATGGTATATTCGCAAAATAAAACATGATTAAACAATTTACAGTGCAAAAGTTTTCGATCAACTGAATACGATGTTATCGAAAATTCGCTTTTATACCGTTTCATATACGAATTTCGCCAAATTGTATTAAACTATCATTGTTTCTTTTTTGGCAACATGAATATCCACATAAAATATATAAAAAAACCATTAAGCATCAAAATCTATACGATCTTCACGGTGATTACATTCTACATACCAAACATAGGCCTAACGTTTTCTATGTTTCATCAAACCATATATAGAAGGAATATGTTTTTTCTTGTTCAATAGGCGGACGACAATGTGCCTCTCATAAAGTGGGCACCAAAATGGTGTGAACTAGCAAATGAGATATAAATGTGTAACAAAATACATTTATTTGCGGAAAAGAACAGTTGGTTTTTTTGGCTAAATGTGTCAAAATCGATGAAAGATGGCCAAAGATTATATGCGGCATTATGGACTTTTAATAAAAAATAGTAAAAAACACAAAATTGTGTATGGAATTTTAATTATTTCAAATGTCATAAAATGTGATATTTTATTTTTGTTTCTAGAATTTAATCGACATGCTACGATCAATATGCAAATTAATGACACAGCGCATATTTTTCGCCGAAAGAAAAATTTGAATATCAAAATGCTGAAGAATAAATTATATTAGAAGTTTGCAGAGCACTACGTACTCTATTGATTTTTTTTTTATCAGAGCGATTCAATTTTATTCGTTTCATTCCACTTTTTATTCGAACATTCCGATTTAAGTGATAAGTCTAGTCCATTTAACTCACCAATCAATGATAAAATGAAACAAGCGAATGAATAATTTTTAAATCAATGGTGATTTTTATCAATTTTCCAGTTTGATGAAAGTTCTGAAGAGACACAGTTTTCGAAATTACAATCGACGTGAAAGAGTTGATTACAATCGACGTGAAAAACAAGTAGAGATCTTAATGTAAAGTAACTTTTTGGAAAACAACTTTGCCATTCACTTGCATTCACTCGATGGTATAAAAACAGACGTTTTATTTATTTTATATTGTATTAAATTACATTCCTTAAAAAAGCACCAATCATTTGGTTCACTTATAGAAATTTTTTGCAGTAAACTAAAGCGAAACATTTGTGGCAAACAAATGGAAATAAACACGGTTTTCACAATTTTCTGATATTTTTTTTTCTAAAATAATGTTTTTATTTATACTCGTATAAGTCGATTTTTTCTATACCTCTAAATTAATAATAAATATTAAACCTATTTTCAAGAAGAAAAAAATTTAAAATTAATATTTTTGATTTTTTTATCACCAACTTCGGATGAACATCTGAATACCTCTTCATACCCAAAGCATTTTTGAATAAATAAGTAAGATAAATTTGCAATAAATGACTACGATGAACGTAATAAGATGAGTGTGGATCGTTCATCAATCGCTTTTATCTTTATTTACATTAAAAAACTGTGAAATCTGTTTGTTCTCGAACGAAGGGAAATAAAGGCCATAAGGTATTAAAGGTACGACTAATGTTGGAATCCTATTTGAACCGAATAGATTTCGATATATTTTTTGCAGGAGTAGATTTTCTGTTATTGGTTTCGCTACCGACTCAATATCATCGTTTTGTACCGTGCTCGCAGGTTCAGGTTTATCACGATTTAAATGACTAAATGAAGCAATTGGAGCTGACCGAAATTTATTCTCGTTTTTTGATGTAGATTTCCTAGTCGGCCTTAACTTTGATGGGCGTTTCGATTTCGTTGGAATTTTTATCGGTGCTGCTGTTGTGGTGGTTCTTGATTCTGTTGCGTTGCTGATCGCAATTTTTTTCTGTCCATCTATAGTGAAGCTAAGATCATCACCACCTTTATTAGCATCATCATTTGAACTATTTTTATCCACCGGATCAGTAAGTGGGAACTCTAACGTAATTATGCTGGTCGATTCAGGTTTGCTACTGGTCGATTCAGGCTTGCTACTGGTCGATTCAGGCTTGCTACTGGTCGATTCAGGCTTGCCACTGGTCGATTCAGGCTTGCTACTGGTCGTATCACCAGTAAGATCCACCTTGTTACAGATCGAACAAAAAGAATAATTTATATTTAAACAATATTATTCTTATCATTTAGATTGTAACTATAAGTTAAGTAACTGTTTGAAGTTAACTATAAAAATTTGTTGAAAATAGAAAATATCATTTTTAGGCAGCACGCACATCATGATATAGATCAAAATTAAAATATTAACAATTCGCATCTTTCACATTCTCAATGTTGTTCGATGCAACTTTCAAGGTAATTTTTGCGGCAGAAAATGTCGCATTTGTTAGTAGTTTCGGCAAATTCATTTTCGCGGCAAGAAATTTCAAGAGAAACTTCAAATAGGCATGAAGAAGATTTGACGAAGAGATTACTTTTGCATTCGTTTTTCACCAAAACGCATCCGTTCAATGCTCGGCGCAATAAAAAAAGACCCGCTTTCATCGAAGAGTTAATTGCTTTTTATCGAACAACAAAACATTGAGAGAGCGAAAGAGAGATTAGTTTGAAAACTGTATAGAGTGATTAGAACGAAAGCAAAATTGATTTTCGAAAGGATGTAAGAACGAATGGTGTTTTTTTTCAAATCGATGTGTTTTCATTTAAAGTTTAAATTTTAAACAGTGAATATAAATTCTGAACATACGTCGATTGTAATTGTGGTCTCCATAGTATCTGGCGCATCCGTTTGATCAACTGTCAAATCGGGGCCAGTTGATGCGGGTGTGGTAGTTGTTGAACTACTGGTTGCAGTCAAATCAACGAAAGGTCCGGCATTTTGCAAAGTTGTGGAGGAGGTAGATGTGGTACTTTGCGTTGTAGAGGAGATAGATGTGGTACTTTGCGTTGATAAGGAGGTAGATGTGGTACTTTGC